TGATGATTTTGGTGTCCGCCTCTTCGTGCCAAACTGTGGATGGATGTAGGCACGGCTGCTAAGAATAGCCACAGATTCATTGATATTTCAGCAATATCAGTGTCACTCGGGAAGGAAAGCTACAGGCCAAAACCCATCAGCAAAACTGAAAGGCCTGGATGAAAGTTTGATACCACCTTGTGAGGCAGAAGTTATCACTCACATTCAGAGAGCATCGTTTGTTGCCAAGATGTGGTCAAAGGCCAATAGACAGGAGATTGTTCAGCACCCGAAGAAAAGCGATGGATGGGAGTTCGAAGACCTGTACCTGTATGGTTTGATGGCCCTCAGCTACCCGACTCCCTTGTCCCAGACGAAGGTGAAATAAATGACGATGGTGATAAAGATGAGGAAAAGATGGAGGCAGCATTCTCGGACGAAGAAAATGAGCTGTCCTGACGATGAGAAATAGACAGTTGAAGAAATGCATCATCGTCTCAATTTAACCCCTAGTTTTTCCAGCGTGTAATTATAAGTAAAAAAATACAAAACGGCATATCAAACTATAATAGACCATGTGAGCAACAAAAACATTTCATATGTATAACTGATTAATTAACATGGAGCACTAATATTTTGCCATGAATCCATCCAAGTTTTAAGTTGTGATTATCTGCGCACATCATTAGTACCACAGTTCAGTATGAAATATATTACATTTTATATTTCTATGTACCATTATAGTGTGTTTTCATATATTTTTTGTATTAAATAACATTTGTTTATTTCCATTTCGTTATTGGTTATTACCGCCACACAGGCATGTCAAATGATACTTTACAATTGGGGTCACTACAATGCCCGATTTAAAGTGTTCTTAAGTTGTCATATTCAGCATGGAGATACTTAAGAAAGGCTTGGATGCTGTCAGGATGTCTCGGGGAACATATCCTGCAAGTTTTATTGATGTACTCCGCATGATGATTGAAACCTTTGGTTGGGTCAACGAGTGCACTTTGACCTGTCCGTCGTTCTTAAGTGGATTTGTCCAAAATTTTGTCACAAAATGATTAATTCTTATTATGTGTTGGTAGAGGAACATTTTGGTGTAGGTTTCATGGATGTACTCAACCATGCTGATAAAACTTTAAAGCCAGTGGGAGTAAAAAGGGTACCCATTTTTTCACCTTTTTTGTTTTGTGTAATAACGGTACCCGAGAATGGATGATTAAACAAGTGATCCTTATTTATCCCATTAAAATCTACATTTTAAGTCCAATCTTGACCCAGTACTCCAAATAGTAAGGGAGTAGCAGTCACTTTAAAGGTACCGGAAGACGGAATTTGAGCGGTTCACTACCTTTGACCTCCTAAGTGGCTTTTTCCACAAAACCGACACTTAAGAATTACCAATATGATATCAGCATATCATAAAGTATATTCTGTAAAGGTTTCACTGATGTACTCAACATGCTGATTAAAAGTGGTAATTAGCATTAATTAGGTCGTTTTTAAGTGGCCAAACCCACAGCGTGTTCACTTAAGAATGGCCGTTTAGGAATCCATGGTGTCAAACCTTTTGTACTCGACATGCTGATTAAATATCTCTGGCCTCTCTGACTATAATGTCTATTCCCGCATTTTTCAAAAACAGGGTCGTTCATGAGCTGCATGAACCTTCACCAGTGGAATTTCTCATGAATCTTTCTATGGATGCAAGGTAAGGATTCTGTATTATCAGCCATCCTTAAAGGTTTCACCAAATCCACTACCAGATAGTAGGAATTGGGTTGGAAGTTTAAAAGTAGAAACATCATCTTATACTCCTGTCATCTTGTTACAATATACTTCTTAGCTATTCCATTTTAAGAATCTTTAAGGAAACTATTAATACTCATTTGTGTGCATTGAAGTTTCTTTTCAGGGTAGACATGAGTATAGAAATAGACCATGTTCTTGATAAAATGAAAAGATTTTTTAGACGTCCTAGAAATAAATGATGATTCCTTCTTGGCCTATTAAAGATGTTTCATTATTTTTAAAACAACTAAGGTTCAGTTCTAACTTATTCCTACAAAATATCTTCGCGAAGGCTGTCATTTTATTAGCCTTAGCATCAGGACTGAGAGTATCACAATTGGCACTTTGACTAGATCTTCAGTCTTGACAGCATTTGAAACAGGCGATGAAGCCGTTTCCTTATCCACCTCCCCTTCGTCCCTGGCTAAGAATAGATCATCGCACAGCTTAGTTCCTGTGAGGGTGCCAGCTTGGTTAAAGGATGGTTAACATCACTCTGTTTTGTTTCAACCCTTATGATATATTTGAACTTTTTTATTTGTATTTCTGACTGACTTTGGATTAATTTGCACAATAATAAAATTTGCAATGTTTGAGATATGTGTACAGTCATATGTCGAGTGATTAAAGAAGCTTTTCCAGGATCTAATTCCAATGTACACCAGTTTAGAAAATGTGCATCTTTTAGAGGTTTTCTTAAGTCCTTTGACTTAATTAGTGTTCAAAGTCAAGGGCAGGGCGGTGGGCTTCCGCTAGCTCATTTCTTAACAGGCATTTTTCATTTAATATTTCTAATGTGCCCTACATGACAATGACCTCATTATTTATTGTTATATTAAGGTATCCTAAGAAATTGTTATAAATTCTGTAATTGGTGTCAGGGTTGCCAACCGTCCCTTAAACACGGAAACTGTGACGCGTCTCTTGCCAACTGATACAGGACGCGATTTGTTCCGTGTTTTTGACAATAACAGACTTTATTAAAATGAAAGTTCAAAGTTTAAGAAAACTGGGAAACTACTGAATTTCAATAAAACCACGAGGTAGTTCTCGTAGGTCATTTCCTAATGTTTAGGCTTAATAAAACTAAACTCCTTTTCTTATGAAAAAAAATATTCACTTTGAAATATTTACATTTATAGTAAGATAATTAGTATAATATATACAGAGTAGGAATGTTGGAGGGTATGGGGTGAATAGACCCCAGATCTTGCCAAATCCTCGGCAAAATGTAATTTTTAGGGATTTGTCTGTAAATATGAGTACATTTCGGCAATTTCGAGCTATACCCCTTCAGCTGAAAACTGAATTATCGCCTCTATGTAAATCATGAAATTTGTCCATGAGCTGGTAGTGATGCCTGGTTTATTAATCTTTACTAATTATCCATTTGTTGCTAATCTGCGTTTTGCAATCTTTGTGATTCTTGCATTCTTTAAAACAAGGCAGAATTTAATACAGCTTAGTAGTATTTAACTCTTTTCTACTTCGAAACATGTTAGGCTTCGTAAGATTTCTTTATTTAGCTTTATACTTCAAATATTTATGGTTTGTTTATTTTGTTTTTAGTCTAAGAGACTGAATAACCTACTGTACTAATTTGGATTTTAGTTGGTTGTACAGCTGCTAATCTTTACACAGAAGATATGTAATACACGTAATTTTCATTGCTTAAAATACAATACCGATGAAATTTGTTTATTTTGTATGAATGGACAGGGTTTGAATAACTTTTTTAAAACCGAATATTTTAATAGAGATACTTTGTCAATTGTGAGTTTTATAAGGGGGTTAGGTCAAGGGTGGGCTGGAGTGTGGCACTTGGCCCCTGTCCTGCATTTTCATATCAGGAGTCGGCAACTCTAATTGGTGTAGGCCTTCAGATTACCAAGTCCAGTAAAAAAAAAAAAAAAAAAAAAAAAAAAAAAAAAAAAAAAAATCTGATATTCAACATAATTTCAAAGCCTCCCCATTCCCGATCTTGTCTTCTTTTAAGCCCCCTCCCCTCTAACTAATCATGTTAGGAACAGACCTTAAACAACCAAGACAAATCTTCAGGTGTGAATCTTCAACCCTGTTCAGATATGTAATTTTAAACTTACTGTTTCTTTCGGTTGATAGGTAACTAGTTTTCTTCTTACCCTCTTCTGTATCTACTTTTTAGGCAGCTTCTACACCCCCATGCAGTGAGTGTAGGTTCCCTCTCGCACGGTAAAAAGAAAACAAATATGTTATTTGAATGTGTTCTTTATGTTCTGACTTCCTGAATGGGACTGTTGTTTGGTGGTGAACGTAAGAGTGTGTCATGTATGTAAGTTTTTCTTTTCCAGAAAGTACTCTATATGCGCTAACTTGAATGACATGAAGTGTTTTACAACCCAACTGCACGCCTTAAAAATAGTGGTTTCATATCTTCAGACCTGTTATTTTTTACACGCTTTTTTCTACAAATAATTGCCAACCTCACCTAAAACTAGTGACTTTGGGAAGATCAAACTCGGACCCCATATGTATATTATATATATATATATATATATATATATATATATATATATATATATATATATATATATATATATGTAAACACTCTACATTCAAATGTTTGCTAAGCCCACACCCCTAAACCTGATGCGGGGGTGCTTCAAAATACACCAATAAATTCATGAAAATTATTACGCTCTGAAAAGCCGTTATTACCTTGTATTCATCTACCATATTCATTGTTTTTCTTTTTTATTATACAGAAGTTTAAGGCATACTGCTTAAAATAATTCATATATTTGACTCTAGACTTAATCTATGCATTTATGTCTCCATAACTTTCCATAATTATTTGTATTTTCATTACGTTTAAATGGCATAGTTATTGTGGACCATTGTTTTTCTCTTAGGTGAATAACTGGGTCTAGTAAATATCCCTAACAGACAAGTTGCTTCGCATTTTTATAATTTCAGCGCTCTGTAACCAGAGAATATAATTTCCTACCCACAATTCATTTTAGAGCCCTCACTAAAAATGAAAGCTCACTACACGAAAATGGAGTCAGACCAAACAAATCAGTTGTTAGAAGAACCTCTTTCTGCACTGGCTATATTTAAGATATGGAAATTGAAGTTAAGATCCTAAAAAGGACTTTCAATTAAACCTATTGATTTTCCATAATATAACAGTAATAATAAAAAAAACAACAACATTGGATGTCGATTTCTCAAAACTACACTTGACTTCACGGTGCAATTTTATTGACTCATCTTCTGAACAAACTGAGTAAAGTATAATTTTCTTTCTCATATAATTACAGAGGTGTGAAGGGAGCGGCTTTTCTCAGATAATGTCTCTGCTTCCAGTTACAGTGCTGCAAATGTTATAAGAAAAAAAAAATGTTTTATCAAAGTTACACCACTTATATGGGAAAAAACGTATGAATGAGAGTGAATATATTCGCAGTGCAAGAGATGTATTGTTTTTCATTCTCATTTATATTTTTTAAAGCATTTGTCGCAATGGACACTTTTTCCTCCTATCTGTCGCAGCTACAGAAGAAAATGGATACGGTATCTTGGGAAACTAATAGAAGCATTTGGAGCAAGGATACACATTCAAAATAACAACAGCAACAACAAAAATAATAATAATGGTAGTTTTATGATTACAAAAACACATATTTAACATTATAACCCAGGTGACTAAAAAAAGCTCCAAAATAGAAGATGGTCCCTTTACGAAAAAATGATTTATTCCCAAGGTTAGGCTTACTTTTACACCTGTAGAATCCGGTGTAAACTCATGAGAAAATGTATAAACAACGTGTATCATTTGATAATACAGTATATGGAGAGACAGCAATGTTATGTCCATTTTACTAAGGGAATATGCAACCTTGAGGTAACTGTCATGAGGCAACAACTCATCGTAAAAAATCGAGAGAGAGAGAGAGAGAGAGAGAGAGAGAGAGAGAGAGAGAAGAGAGAGAGAGAGAGAGGAGAGAGAGAGAGAGAGAGAGAGAGAGAGAGAGAGAGAGAGAGAGAGAGAGAAAAAAAAAATTTGAAGGGTGAAGGATTTTACAAAAATGTTTAAAAAATCTTTTTCGGTCTGATTTTAAAGTCTTACATAGCAATATATAATTTTTTTCATTTTTTCACTCAATTCTCTTTATATAACCTGGCTGTACATGGGTCTAACATTATGATATTACAGA